CTAGAGCCTCAACACAATTATTTTCATCAGCAGCAATTAAATTTTCGCTCATTGGCTTTTTTAAAATTGTAGAACAATTTACAAGTTGTCTAGAATTCGTTCCAGTAAATGTTGGATTATTAAAATCCACATACCCTGTTGTAAAACATACCAAATATGAATAGGCATATATATATATATATATATATATATATATATATATATATATATATATATATATATATATATATATATATATATATATATATATATATATATATATATATATATATATATATATATATATATATATATATGGGTTATAACACATATAACACATAATATTATGTATATTATAATATACATAAATTTTGAATTTACATTTTTTTTTACATAAATTTAATTTAATTTTGAAAAACTTTACATAAATTTTGATTTTACTTTATATCACATTATTTGTGTCTATTATTGTCAAATATTAGTATTTATAAGTACTAATATTGTTATAAACACCAACATAAAATGCGTTATATATATAACTCATTTTATGTTGATGTTTATAACAATATTAGTATTTATAAATACTAATATTTGACAATAATAGACATAAATAATGTGATATAAAGTAAAATCATAATTTATGTAAAGAGAAAATTTATTTCCGAATAACTTTTACAAACCATGCTTTAGAAGAAAACGCTTTTACAAAATCGTTCTGTTTCCAAATTCTGTACAGTTCTAGTCGATAAGTTTTGTATGGTTTTATTCATGGTTTCGTAACGGAAACTTTAAATAATATAATATTCCATTTTTGTAATTGTGAAGCCATTTGTAAAAACTTAATATTCTAACACGTACTTTGGTAAATGGTAGTAGTTAATTTCACGGAATCAAAACTATTTTTGACACGTGATATTCTTAGTGTTTTCAGGAGTTTTAAACACGCAACAGAAACCAATAGTAATTTTTTAACGAGTTGTGGCGGCTGGGTATATATATATATATATATATATATATATATATATATATATATATATATATATATATATATATATATATATATATATATATATATATATATATATATATATATATATATATATATATATATATATATATATAAAGTAAAATATAAGTTAGTTTAAATTTTGTAGTCAGGGCGAAATTCGCAGAAAACTGTGTATGTCTTGTCATCGAGAACCCTTGTTATAAATTTCATGAAATACTATATTATTGTTATAAATACTATTAATAAGTTAAGTTTACTTTTTTTTAAAATTTTTACTATTATTATTATTATTTTTTTTTACATTATTATTTTTCTAATTATTCATAATAAATTAGAATATTTCCATGTAATTATTTATTTCTAGAATGAGTTTTTTTAATTTGGTTTTTAAGAAATAAGTATTTTCTACAAGAAATACTGGTGAATTTTTTGGAATTAATTTGTTATATATGTATATATAACAAATATGAAACCATGATAAGGTGCAGAAAATTGGGAGAGTTTTCGTTTTTTCATAGGCACAATTTAATTTCCAGTTGCTCTAGTACTAAATTTATTTATATTAGTAATAAAAAAGTTGTTTTTGAATCGACTTGGATCGATTCCCATTCTATGTTTGAACATAAAAAATATATTTTGGTATATATTGATTTGGTAAATGTTTAAAGTATTCATATGCTTAAGTAATGGACTTGCACGAGTAAGCTTGTCTTTATAAAATATCATTCTATAAGCATGTTTCTGTCGTCAATGTAGTGAAATTAGCTTACTTTAATGGCCCATACAATACTAGCCCATGCAATATTGGCGTATGATAGATAGCAGTGTATAAATGAAAAATAAATGATGCAAGAAATTAGAAAATTGAATAATACCGCGATCAGGTGGTCTATAATACAAGTAGAAACTATAAAGTTTTTTGTATTTTTTATAATTATCTCAATTGTTTGGACGCTCTCTGAATTAGAGGCTGAGATCTTTTCTAATTTTAATATTATGATCATTGCGAACGTAAACAATAGTTCCTCCCCCTCTTTAGGTGTTTTCTTTTAAGGGAAATAATTTTATAATTAGGAATATGAAAATTAGAATTTTTTTGAGATGATTAATCATCACACCATGTTTCTGTAAGCAGGGCTGTCCCGAAGGAGGGGTGTCGGGGGTGTCCACACCCCCCAAAGCTGTCACTTAAGCATTTGAGTTGGCACATTGAGCAAGTTTTGAACTATAGTTGGCAAATTGCAAATATTGAAGACCTTTTTTTTTTTGGTGTTTCTAGTTGGCAAAAAAATTCATACACCAACCCCCCACCCACCCATAGAAGACCTCCGGCCCTATCTGTAAGACAAATCATGTTAAACAAATAATTACATTTTAAAAGAAAGATTTTTAATTTATCTATATTTGCGTTTATACTTCTGATGTTGATATGTATTGCCATAAAATTTTTATTATTTGTTTTTAATAGGGTTTTAAATCTTTCAATATCATAGTATTGTAAGTTAAAAGTCATTCCATTAAACAGTTGTATATTGCGTCATAATGGTCATTTAGTAAAACATTATTAGCGGTTTCAAAAAAGTTGAATTGCTTTGTTTCGAAATCAATTGTTTCGTCATTGTGCTTATTTAAGAATTTATTATACAAAAATGTGGTTATCTGTTTTACTTACGAAATTCGCGTACAAAAATTTTATCGTATTTTATAATTGCAAATTTACCTTCTTTTCGAAGTCTTTTTATTTCTTCCCACAGCTTTTTTCCTATTTCTAGAGTTTCATTTGCGTAATCTTCGTTGATAAGTATTCCACTCCCTTTTAATTTTTTTGCCGATGATAGAATTTTGTTTTGTTCTTGAAAGTTTAGGAGTTTAAGAACGATAGTTCGTGGCTTATTCTCTTTTGCTTGTCCTACTCGATGGGCTCTTTCAATCACCACGTCATCCACGATTCCTAATTGGTTTGTAAATATACTTTTAACTATATTTGTACAACCATCCCATGTTTCTGAGGAACGTTCTGCTATTCCGTCGATTCTTGTTTGTTTCGGCGTGATCTGTTTTCCAATTCTATAGTTTTATTTTTTAGCGTTTTGATTTCATCAGCCCTTTTTTTTTATTAGTGAGAGTTTACTTGTAAAGTTTTCCTCTTGGAAATTAATAGTTTCTTTGATGTCGCTAAAATTTTTCTCTAGAACTGCAATTTTGTTGTTGTTGATATTTGTTTCGTTTTCGAGATTATCAAGTCTATCGGTGATAGACTTGTTTTCAGATTCAAACTCATAATATCTGCAAATACTGCTTCTTGGTTTTTTAAAAGTTTATCAGTTTCTTTAAGAATTTTTTTTTTTTGTTCTTCCAGTTTTGACGTTATAAGTCGTTCAATATTTTTCATTGTAACATCCATTTAAAAAAAAAAAAAATAGATAAAAAAAAGGACAAAATTTTTTCAGATTCAAACTCATAATATCTGCAAATACTGCTTCTTGGTTTTTTAAAAGTTTATCAGTTTCTTTAAGAATTTTTTTTTTTGTTCTTCCAGTTTTGACGTTATAAGTCGTTCAATATTTTTCATTGTAACATCCATTTAAAAAAAAAAAAAAAAATAGATAAAAAAAAGGACAAAATTTGAAGATAGTTTAATAGATTTGAAGATAGGAGATATAATTTCCGACTCTACAGATAATAAATACAAAAAACTTTAAAATACTACTATTTTTTCTTTCGAAATTTTACGCTGCTAAAACACGTCTGTTCGTGAAGGAACCATGCGCACCAAAAAAAAAAAAAAAAAAAAAGTTTTATCTAATATATAAAAATTACCTTTTATTTTGTTGACTGGATGTACAAACCAACAAAACAAAATAGAGATATAGGAAGAAAATACAAAAGCGGTAGTAGAAAAAGAAAATTAACTGCAAATAGAAAAGCAGAAAGTGAAAAACTCAAAGGCGTCATAAAGTAAATTCTTAAAAATAGGCAATTATTGAGTTAACTTCAGTAATTTCAATTAATTGAGTAGAAATTAAAACTTGTTCTTTTTAACAACTTTATCAGATTTTACAAAACTTCTTTGTGTGAACTTTTCCTGAAGATTCTGACCTAGAATAAAATATTTCAGCTTTGTTTCTATCTGTTTTTGAGACTTATATTTTTAGTTTTCTACTTAAATGTTTTTGTAAATTATTTTAAAATTTTTAAAAAATTTTTTATTTAAAAAATGTTATTTCTATTTAGTTTATATTACAATTTACGCAGCAACATACATAGTATTATCAAAGTATGCAAACTTTGATAGCCGCTGGTTTTGTTTTTGATAGTTGCTGGTTTTGTAAACTTTGATAGCCGCTGGTTTTGTTTTTGATAGTTGCTGGTTTTGTAAACTTTGATAGCCGCTGGTTTTGTTTTTGATAGTTGCTGGTTTTGTAAACTTTGATAGCCGCTGGTTTTGTTTTTTCCACTTTTGTAGTTTGATCAGTTCGGAACTTAATGCAGGTACCGCTGCTAATTATCTAAAAAGTTGTGATATTCATTATGGTCGTAGCAATTCTTTTTTATAGTTTCTGTTTACAAAACAATGACATAACACCATGCCTTAATAAGTTCATTCAAATGGTCTAAATAAAATCACATGTTTCTCATGCAACCTTACATTTGAGTTGCTTTTTAACTGCCGGGGCACACCTAACACAACAAATAACAAAAATTAAAATAAAACAAACTAATAAAACTTTAAGGCTAATAGACCAAACGAGTGACTTTAGTATTTATATTGTTCAATTACAATAGTTACTTGTAGTTGCTATAGTAACTAAATAATATTGTAATAGTAACATTTTACCACACGAGTGGTGTTCCTAAGACAGCTCAAAGTAAGTTTTTTTCATTTTTAATAACCGTAATGCAATGCAAAGTTACCAAATGCAAAAAATAAAAATACGGTTATTTGAGTTACAAATTTATGCAATGGAGAAAAAATCTAAAAATATAAACTTAAATGAAAAAAACGACTGAATACATTTTTTTTGTTTTTTAATCCCATCAAATTTTACAATAATAATTTGCTCAGCGCACCTACATAGCATAAATATATTACACATTTAATTCATTTAACTAACTCAACAAAATTCAACAAATCATTTGCTCTCATTGAATTAAAGGCATTGCTCTTCTGTCACTTCATAAAGGGTAGTAGCAGATTTTCCTGAAAAATACGTTTTTGGTTAAAGAATATCTTCAGAAATGAATTTTTATGAACGAAAATCAAAACAAAAAATAAACCTGTATCGTAGTAGTCGTAAACTTTGATAGCCGCTGGTTTTGTTTTTTCCACTTTTGTAGTTTGATCAACTCGGAACATAATGCAGGTACCACTGCTGCTTATCTAAAAAGTTTTTTATTCATTATGGCCGTAACAATTCTTTTTATAAATTTTGTAAAATAACATATGGTCTCAAAAAACAATTAAACACATAATAGATTAGCAATACTTTAAATTCCCCAAAAGTTTACTTAATTGAAAGGGGCATTCCTTTAAAAATAAAACTATAATAAAAATTTATTCTAAATGCTCGTATTTAATTGGATGCTGTTTGCTATTACAGCTACAACATTTATTCTAACTAATTTTAAAATAAAAACATATGATTACCTTTTCAAAATAAAATACAACACTCTTCCCCTTTGCTTCAATGTCTTTGATGTTCGATTCTTTATCATTACGAGCCTTTATTTAAAAAACAAAAAAAAAATAAAAACAAAAGTAGAAAAAGTTCAGCAACTACTTTAACTAGCTATTAACTTCTTATTACGTCAAAAGCAAAATATTCTCAAGAAACATAAGAATTAATTGTAGGAGCATACTAAACTTTTCTGGTACCCTATTGGTAGGCGAATGTATATCAAATTAAAAAAGCTTTTAAAAGTTTTCAATATTCGAGGTTTTAGTTATAGTGTAGTGTATACTAGGGTGCATCAAAAGCCCCATACTTTCAAAAATTGATCTGTCCCTATTCTTAAAACTTTCTATTGGTACTCACAAGACACTCTGTTAAATTTGTTCAAAATTGAATGAGATTTAGGGGGGCCACCTCAAATCTGAAACTTGCGACGAGACCCTAAACAGAAGAAAAAAAGTTTTTCAAATGTATGTCATGTTGGGTCTCAAAAGAAGCGAAACTTTATAAAAATAGTTATGATTTTTTGTTAAAAATACCTTGAAAAAAAATTTCGACCAAAAACCATGAAAAAATGGCTTTTTTTAATTTTTTGCTAAAAAATAATTTTTATGCAATAAAATTTATAATAATAAATACTATGTAAAATTTTTATTGTTTTTCTGAAATTTTTTTATACCAATAGAATTTAGTATCAATAGAAAGTTTTAAGAATAGGGACAGATCAATTTTTGAAAGTATGGGGCGTTTGATGCACCCTAGTGTATACAATATGCAGAGCTATATACTTGCCGCTTACAAAAGAAATTTTTTTTTGTTAAATCAATATAAAACATCGCTAGAGCAAGTGACATGACTAGAGCTTTAACTTCAAGCAATATTCTAATCCATAGAATAACGTAAATAAAAGAGTGTATTAAGTCACCATTGTTGTCTTTTATTCGCCAAAACCACAAACACAACAAGTATATATTTTGGCAAAACCTAGAATAGGGGCATATTATCAATTACTTCAACGCTAAAAACATAAATTTTGCAACTCTGAAAAACAATACCACAAACTGAGCATAAACTCAAGCAGTTGAAGATTTTGTGGTTATTTAAAAGAACTAATTCATAAAATAAAGTGGAAAACCAAAAACATCAAGGAATTAAGTACAGCCATGAATTCTTTGATGAAGATTTTATTGTATGTTATACAGAAATTCAAGAGTTTAAAAAAAAAAGATTGCTAATGCCATAAATTGTTTAGTAATCATAATTGACTAGTAATCCAGACAGGTTTATCACAAAAAATAAAAAAATTATTTTACTGTAATAAAATTCATATCTTATACACTAGCTACTCCAACCTTCAGACAATATATGTAACTTTTTTAAAAAACCAAAGTATGTAGTAGTTTATTTTCAAAAACAATTTTACATTAGTGCATTATCCATTATTATAAACATGTGTTTTAAGCCAAACCCTACATAATAAAAACAATACATATATATATATATATATATATATATATATATATATATATATATATATATATATATATATATATATATATATATATATATATATATATATATGTTTTATATAATAAGAAAGCTTTATTTAGTTGAAAAAAAATGCGTAGTGTTTTAACACTCTTAATTGTTAAAAATCAAATTGCACTTCAACTTCAACGGCTTCATTATAAAAAAAAAAATTTGATATTGTTTTGGTGCCTCCCAAATAAACTAAAACGTTGGCATTGCTCTTTCTTCAGGTAAAAATTTAAAATGCAGCAAGTTTGCAAAAGGGAAGCATGAAGTATTGATGACAAACAATCACAGAAGCCTGTATTGTGAGGAAACTAGAAAACTTGCTTATTTTTCAAGACACTGCTTCAAGAGGGGTGTAGTCAAAATGACAGGTATTGATATTCTAAATGACATGTACTGACAACACATTTTAGAAAAATGCTTGATAGGCTAAGGAGAAACTAAGAATCACGAAAGATAAATTGAAAGCACAAGGTAAAAAGGTGTCAAAAAAAGAAAAAGAAAAAAAAAAAAAAAAAAAAAAAAAAAAAGGAGAAATCAGGAGAAAATGATTTAGAGGAAATTAAAAAAAAACTTAAAGACAGAGTTTTAAGTTTTCTGGTGCATAATGTTTATCTTCAGCTGAGTATGAATGAAATTCTACACAATCAGATCTCAATCTTGACAGAATATGGTATATTGGTTTTAGAACAGGAACCTGTTTCACTTTCTTTATAAAATCAATGGTATCGATTTTGGGAAGCTGGACATCTTAAGATCTACTCTGAAAAAGACAACACATACTGTAGTCTACTACAGTGTGTTTTCTTTTTTAAGAAGCCTAGATCATTTAAGAACCCTGTTCTCTGACTGATGTGAATTCACAACATATACAAAAGACATGTCTCATGTTATGAAACTTGTTTTTAGCCCAACAAAAAGTCCAAGCAATAACCTTTACGTATTACTCCAGCAACTTTGGCCGCAAATACACAAAAAATTAAGACTAAAAAAAATTGCCAAACTTGAATGGTCCGAAGATGCTTTCAGGCCAGGTACTCTTCTACATAATTTGAAGTAAAAACTAAAGAATTATGTTACAGCACTTCACAAAGACACTTTACAGAAGGAGATTACAAGTATCCTTGCCAACAATTGGCTGTCTTCCTGATGATTTCATCACTGAGCAGAGTTATCTTATTTTCTTTCTTTTGGGAATTACTAGAAAAGACATTTTGCTGTAGAGGGAGAAAGGCATAGGAATGAAATAGCCCATAAGTTGTTTGTCAGGTTCCTTATTTATGCAAAACAGTTTGCAGTGGTGAATGATAGAGTTGAATGCCACATCAAGTTGACTTAATTGAAAGAACTCATGATAAGGATGAAAGAACTCATTACTTCAGAACACTCTTCAAGTACATTACTATACAATAATATGCCATTAAAACAGTTTAGAGTTTTTTTATCATAATATATTAAAAACTAAACTTTAATAATTACTAAGACTGAGTAATTACTTTTTGCCCCAAACAAAAGTTTCTGTTGTATTTTATATTTTTACTTTCTGTTTCCCAAAAAAACAGATTACAAATGTCTAAGAAACTCAGAAAGAAATCTGCAAAACAAATTTAGTATAACAAAAAATGTTAAAAAATGTTTTAACTGTTGCTTTCTAGTCTAAGTAGAGCAGAGATTTGAATCTTAAAAAAAAATTATATATTTTATCTGTTTTTTTTAGAGGGTATTTTTTATGTTAACTTTTTATGTTAACTTTTTTTCATAAAAACTCATAGAAATTGACACATACAATATGTCCTGCTTGTGACTCTGATCGTTTATCACATTAATCTAAAGCAGGTGAGGCTTCTTAGCTTTAGTAAAGCAGGTGAGGCTTCTTAGCTTTAGTAAAGCAGGTGAGGCTTCTTAGCTTTAGTAAAGCAGGTGAGGCTTCTTAGCTTTAGTAAAGCAGGTGAGGCTTCTTAGCTTTAGTAAAGCAGGTGAGGCTTCTTAGCTTTAGTAAAGCAGGTGAGGCTTCTTAGCTTTAGTAAAGCAGGTGAGGCTTCTTAGCTTTAGTAAAGCAGGTGAGGCTTCTTAGCTTTAGTAAAGCAGGTGAGGCTTCTTAGCTTTAGTAAAGCAGGTGAGGCTTCTTAGCTTTAGTAAAGCAGGTGAGGCTTCTTAGCTTTAGTAAAGCAGGTGAGGCTTCTTAGCTTTAGTAAAGCAGGTGAGGCTTCTTAGCTTTAGTAAAGCAGGTGAGGCTTCTTAGCTTTAGTAAAGCAGGTGAGGCATCTTCCAGCAAAGAATCAAATATTACAACAGATGCAAGTTTTATTATAGCTTGGAATATTGCAAGAAGCAAACATCCTTACTTGGATGGAGAGTTTGCAAAACAAAACACACCAATGGAGAGTGAACAAAATCTTTTAGATATAATCTCAGTTTTAGATGCTAATAAAAATTCAAAGGTTAATTTTAAACATTTGCATTTCTTGACATACAACTGAAAATTTATACTAATTTCAAACATTTGTATTTCTTGACATACAACTGAAAGAAGAATATCTGCGATTATTGTTGAACAGTGTTTGTTAAATGATTTAAAAAATTGTGGGAGAATTCAGTTTAGCATTGGATGAATCAACATATATTCAGGATAAAACTCACATAGCAGTATTTGTTAGATATGTAACATCAGATGCACTTGTGAAAGAAGAGTTGCTAGATTTGGTAGAGTCTTTGACTCTTCACCCTTTTGACACTATTTTGGTGAAAGCCAATGCCTCTAGAAAAAAGCTTAGTGTACCATCTGCTACAGATGGTACAACAACACTGATTGGAAAACATGTTGGGTATATTGGTTAACTAAAAAGTATCCAGAGTTAATCCCAGGTCATTGTGTGATTTATCAAGAACATTTAGTTGCAAAACATTTTAATATTCAAATTGTTTTTTAATAATGAAATTTTTAAACTGTAAATCATACAGTTCAAAAATTTCATTAATGAATTGGATCTTGCTGACAAACCAAATGACTTGTCGTTTTACTGTGCTCTAAGGTGGCAATTAGTGATGTTATTTATAGATTTGTAGAACTATTAGGACCAATTAAATCTTTTTTGATTTAAAAGCAAAAGACATTTGAAATCTTTGACAATATGAATTTAAAATATATATATATATATATATATATATATATATATATATATATTATAATAAAAATATTCAATAATAAAATAAACATAATAAATATGTTTTATTAAAACAAAAAATATTCAAAAAATGCTAAGAATTTAACTTGGAGCATTCAATATCCTTTATGGACAATTAAATAAACACTTGGTTCTCAATAAATTCTAAACATTTTGTAAATTTTCGGAAATCATTGAAAGTTGAAACTAAAATCACTGTGAACCGCAGTAATGAAATCTCCCCACATCAGATTTTTTTTTTTGATACACTTAGTTACATATAGAATGATAAATAGTTAATGACTTAAAACCTGAATTGAGTGGAAAAATGTATGAAAATCAAAAAATAAAATTAATGCTTTTTAGTTATTACCCACCATTATCAACAAAATAACTTTAATTTGTCCGAAATTAAAGTTATTTTGTTGAAATTATCTGCCATTTTCAACAAAATAACTTTAATTTGTCAGCGGTTTTTGTTTTTACACATTCTCTGGTGCATAACGACTTAAAATGGAAGTCAGCAATATATGTGCTGTTTGTTTTAAAACCTTTGGTAAAAAGTCATCAAAGCTTCATAAAATAACCAAAACTATTGAAGAAAAAATAAAAACTTTTGTTTGGAATAGCTATGATCAGAGTTTAGTTTTCTAAAGTTTTCTAAACATTCTAAAGTTAAACATTCTAAAGTTAAACATTCTAAAGTTAAACATTCTAAAGTTAAACATCCTAAAGTTAAACATTCTAAAGTTAAACATTCTAAAGTTAAACATTCTAAAGTTAAACATTCTAAAGTTAAACATTCTTAAGTTAAACATTCTAAAGTTAAACATTCTAAAGTTAAACATTCTAAAGTTAAACATTCTAAAGTTAAACATCCTAAAGTTAAACATTCTAAAGTTAAACATTCTAAAGTTAAACATTCTAAAGTTAAACATTCTAAAGTTAAACATTCTAAAGTTAAACATTCTAAAGTTATTTGTAGCAATTGTTATAAAACCCTTTATTGTTTAGAAAAAAATGATACAAAATACTTTAATAAGTGGCTAAACGAATTTTTTCAAGTTAATTATTAAACTAAATTAAAAATTATATTTATGACTTATTGTTTTATTGTATTGTTTTATTGTTTTATTGTATTATTGTACTATTTTTTGTATTTATGACTAAGTTTATTATTATGACTTAAATTTGTTTTTTATTAATTTTGTAAAAAGTAAGAACTGTGTCTCAATGAAGCTCCATAAATTTGAAAGAAAAGTTATTTAGGCATCTGATTTTAGCATTTAAAATGCTTGCTAATGGGTTTAACTATTTATATTACTAATTTGTTTTATATAAATGGAATAATAGATTTAAGTAGTTTTAAATTTAAATTCAGTTTTGCTCTAAACCATAAAAAATAAATTAGTCTGAATTAAGAAATATGATGCAGCATATGCATTGGGATCAGCAAGTGCAGAACGTGTTGCTTAAAGTATCCTAAAAACTAAAATACAATATGAAAATATTTTTAAAGGTGAAAAATTTACAATTGCTACTCAATTAAATAATATAATAAACAATAAATGGGAAACCATTGAGTATTGTAGCTGGGACTACGGACAAAAAAAGTGATCGTGCTTTGTGTCTTTCAGAAAAAATTACGGAGCTTGTAAAATGTTTAGAACTATCCCAGTGTAAAACCAAAAAAAATGTGTTCTATATTTAAAAAGAATCTTGGGTTTCAAAGTAGTATTGAAGGAAATATATTTGAAAAATTAGAAACTTTAAAAACTGAAATGAATGAATATTTTTTATGTAAAGAAGAATAATTTTTTGAAGCTGGTGATATAGCAAATAAATCAATGGTTTATATAAAGGATATTGATAAATTTATACGTTATAATCACTGAAAGAAATATCGACCCTCTTTCTACAATTATAAGGGTCGCTGTGGATTCTGGTCAAGGTTTTTTAAAAGTCACAATGAGTGTTTTTAATCCGCATGATAAAACTAACAACCAACCTGACTTTAATGATGCTGGAGTGATGCATTGTTTTATTGTTGCTATTGTAGACGGAATATCTGAACACAATGGAAATCTTAGGAAATTAGTTGATCCTCTTAATCTTCAAAATATTAAGTATTCTGGTGCATTCAATTTAAAGTGTACAAACTCAATGTTTGGAATTACAATCCATGCTGGAAAATATAGCTATTTGTGGTGTGAAGGAGAGAGTCTTTTGGATTGTGAAGTAAAACGAACTCTTGGTTCACTTGATTATCAATACAGTAAATATGTAGAAGTTGGAAAACCAAAATCAAAGATGGCTGATTATAAAATTGTAATTAATCCAAGAGTTTTATATCTTGAGGAAGATCCAGACCAATTATAGAAAATTTAGTTCAAGTACCTAAGTTGCAAAGCTTTTATCAAAACTATGGCCTGGCTTTGAACAATGGTTAAACTCAAATTATATATTTTTTAGAGGTTACCATGACATTGGGTTTGATGGCAATAATGCCAATATGTGACTTCAACCGCTTATGCTAAATGATTGAAGTCATGTATTGTTGAATTTTCAACATTTAATAAATAGTTAACATGTTTATCATTTAAGTTAATATATTGTTGACCCACAATAGCATCAAAAAGTGTTGCTTCTTAAGTATTTTAATAACATGTAAGATACTGTTGAATAAGTATCAATAAAATTTAATACTATATATGTAATTCTAAAGCTTATTCTAGATATTTGTTCACATTAAATCCATTTATTATATTTTGTTATTGCTTTTTACCTAAACTTTTTTGCTGTTATCTGTTGGAGAATATATGTTCAAACACTTTTTAATGCATTTATAATATAAGTATATACAAGTATAGAGTAAAATTAGGTTAAAACATGCGATTAATTTTATTTTTTCTTAAAATTATGTAAAATATATGAACTTCAATAATATTAGCCATGTTCCGCCCTTCCCCTTTTAATCAAAAGTCAAAATGTGTAAAAATTTCATTTTAACTATTTCTATGGAAACCATTTTTATGGAGGTTCTCAATACTCTTACTTAATTTAACTATGGTTGTATTTTTTGATAACAAAAAAAAAGATTGGGTGTGGGGAGACATCAAATCTGGAGGTCACTGTGGTTCACAGTGATATACATTAATCAATTAACAGCTTTAAACCTTTTTTAACTTTTATTTATATATTTATTTTTACTTATAGTTTAAATTAGATTGTACTTGAGTTTATTAAAAATTAGAATTATAACTTGCAACAGAGCATTAAATATTGAGAAAACATCAAATATATTTTAAAATTAAAATACTTTTAAGTCTTTTGTTCCAAAAAGCAACAAATAAAACCTCATTTTAAAATTAAAAATTATTTAGTAAATTACTTTAAAATAAAACCAAATAACCTTATCAAGTGATTCTTTATTTGGTTCAAATCCAGATATCATTTGAATATCAATAATGGCCATGTTTGAGTCACCAACACCTGTATAATATGCACATACTTTGATGTTTTGTGGTTTACATGATTGCTGGGCAGTTATAGCTTCATTAACTTGTGTTACAGATGATGTAAGTTGGAATGAAGGTTTCAAAGTAACTTCTTTTACATTATACTGTACAGATGTCTAAAATCAATTATTAATAATAATACCTTTACTTATTATATGTTATATCTATTATCTTATATTTTTATCTTATAACATTTATAAAAATCATAATAAAAATAATTTTAAAATTTTATAAAAAACTTTGAAAAATTATCTAATTAAAAAAATGAATAAAAATTAAACAATACAACATAAGATTAAAAAAGTACTTGGATCAGTGAACAACCATCTCCAGATGCAACTACATCAACTGTATTAGGAACAGGAACACCCTATTTTAAAACATTATAAAAACTAATTAACATTTTTAATTTAAAAATTTTAATTTTTACTTTAATCATAATCTTTGAATTTTTTATCTACTTAAAAATTAAAAAAAAAAAATTTAATTGTATGTATATATCCATGATAGCATAAAAGTTAAATAATAACAAAATAAAAATAAAAATATTTTAACAAGTAATAAAAGAAAAAATACAAGAAAAGTAAATGGTTTAAACCTCAACAGTTTGTGAAACAAGATTATTGTCCTTTGTTACTTTAAATGTATGACTAAAAGTTTCTCCTGCTTTAACATCAACATTCATGTTCTGTGAAGCTCCAAAACTATATTCAGCAAACCCTGATAATGCTTGCATTGCAAGAACTGTATCCTAAAATAAAAAAAATTTTACATATTAACTTTTTAATTAATCAATCTGTAAAAACAAAAAAAAAAAACACAAAAAAACAACAACTATGAATTCAATTATAAAACAAACTTGTGTTGAAGACCATCCTCCTAAACTATTTCGTTGCTTTGACAACCATTGTACAATTGGAACAACATCTGAAATAACACTGCTTTTACCAAATGTCAACATAGCCAATAAAACATAAGATGTTTGCTCAATATCTGTGGATGAAGCTTGATAGTACCATGGTTCTTTTATGGTTTCTTGTACTTTTGTTTCCTCCCAATGAACCATACCATCTTAATAAAACAAAAATTCTTTATATAAATTTTTTATATTAATTTTTTTCTTTTTTTAATGTGGATAACTTTTTTACCTTTACGAACTGCAAGTTTATTCAAAGTGTCTATTACAGACTGGTATGTTTTGAAATCTCCAATTTTTGCAAACATATATGCTATTATTGAAAGAGAATAAGAATCTGTGATGTTGCTAAGTGAATCTGTAACACATTTTGAAGCGTTTACTAGCTTAGGGTGAGTAGCTATAATATCAGCTTCTAACAGACTTATTAATACATAAGCTGTAAGTGTAACAGGAGTTTTCACTCCTCCCTTCATTGCTTGGTGATGTAGTGTTCCTATAATAAATAAATAAAACAGCATTTAAAAAAAAATTATATATTTTTGTTGATAATATATACAATATATCAAAGTAAAAAACTATTTTATTAGAAACAAAAGATTATAGCTTTTTTTACAATTATTTTTATTTTTCCTTGCGTTAAATTTACCTATTGTTGGAAAACAACCATTAGAATCTTGTTTTTGTAGCAACCAGTTTACAGGATCTTGTATTTCTTTCTGATCAACATCAATCCAAGGGCGAGCTTGTGCATATGATTTAAGTACAAATGCTGTCAACCTTAAATAATAAACTTACTTAAATAACAACCTTAAATAATAAACTTTTTTCTTCAAATTTTTTCTTAAAAAACAAAATAAAAGTTGTTAAATAATAAATAATCAGGGCTATTCTAGACCGTTTTCAACAGCGTTGACAGTATTTGGGTGCCAATTTGGGCGCCACCCAAATTAAAATTTGAGGACCTTTTTCTATTTTTTTTAATACGTTTTTTACAGCAAATATCGTTATTTTTGCTGGAATAGGCCCTGATAATAGTTATGTAAACTATGATTAATTATAATTATATTTAAAATAAAAGTAAATGGAAACTAAAATAGATTAATAATACTTAAAATAAATTAATTTATAATATTAAAAATCTTTAAATTATTAAGTACATCACTAAAAATGGCCATTATCAACAAGTTATGGATTTGTTTTATAAATATGAAACTGTTTTTGGTAATTTGGTAATTTAGGTATTTATTATTTTGGTATTTTGGTTGTTTAGTTAACCCTATTGTTTGACTAACATATTTGTCTGATTTTTCATATAAATATGAATAGTATAAAGGTTATAACAATTATTATTAATTAGAAAAATTATGGGCTTAAAATAAAATTTGAAACAAAAGTAACTTATTATTTTTTTAACTTTATGCAAAAAAAAATTTTTCACAATATATTATAAAATTTAGTTTTTTTTGGATAGTAAATAAGAATTTCCTTAACTTTTCCAGATTTTTGTTATAGTATAACAGTCACAACACAGTTCAGCAATTGTTTATGAATTAAATTTTGCATTCAATTTTTGTTTGTTTATTTCATATTTAAGTAATGAAATAAACAAACAAAAAGAAATATAGGAATCCCAGTCAGTCAGACTAAAGAACTTTTGATAAAAAAGGCTTTATTAATGTAAAAAAAAAAATTGTCACAATGTCAAATGTATTATGTCAAGGTTTTACAAAGTCAAAACGTGTGGTGAACGGACGTGTTTAACTACAAATAAAAAGTTTTTATTAAAAGTTCGACTAAAAGTAAACCGGGTACGAATTGGTGGTGGTGTAGCTATATACTGCTAAAATGACATCAAATCTGCCATAGTAACTATTACTCAAACTGACATGGATATTGACATCATTTGTGTTGATTTAATTTTTGGGTCTAGTAAACTCCGCTTGATTACTTGTTACCATCCGCTGTCCTATTCTCTTGATGATTATATCTATCTTGAATCAATGATTTCAATAATTAGCAATCTCTGTGAATCTGTTTTTTAATTTGTCATTGTTGGAGATTTCAACTTACCGAAAATTGATTGGGTTAACTACGTTTCGCTAATTGAGAAATGTCATAATCTTGTTTTAACTTTAGTAAATAATCATGGTATGCACCAATATGTACTGGAGCTCACTCGAGAAAATAATATTATTGATCTTGTTCTTTCAAATATCATTTCCCTATTAAGCAATATTTCTGTTGTATCCATTTAGTACAAGCGACCATAACTCAGCCCTTTTTCATATAAACACCTTTAATTATTATCAGCCCCAAAACAAACTTTTTACAATTTCAATAATACAAATATAATTGGTTTTATTTCTCATTTATCCTAACTTATTTATTTAAAATAAGTTAGGACTTCGATTTTTCTTTTGTTTTTACAACTGAAGAGTATTGGAACATCTTTTCTGATCATCTTCGTAAAGGTATTGATTGTTTTGTTCCAATCAGAACTAAAACTGGTCAAAGAAAATAACTTAAGTAAGTTTTTTAGTTACATAAATAAAAATCTAAACAACCCATTTGAAATCGTGAAAGTGTGTAACAAACACTTTGGAAGTGTTTTTACCGTAGATGACGGAAATTTGCCTAAAATAAATACTTTTGTTAGTGAACATATTAATATGGATTTCATAGATTTTTCAGCAAAGATAGTT